TATGGAGCCGGGGGTGCTCTGAGGGTGGGACATTCCCACAGGGAACGGGGTCCTGGGGGGCAGAGCCTGCTTGGGGGGGGGGTCCCGGGGGTGAATGGGGGTGCCCCCCCCGCAGCCACAGCCGCCCGTCGCCCCTGTCCCCCGCAGATGGTGACGTCCCCGCGGCCGTGGCGCGCGCTGGTGGCCGTGTCCCTCTGTGCCCTGCTGTGCCTGGCGGCCGCGTACCCCCCGAAACCCGAGAGCCCCGGCGACGACGCGTCCCCCGAGGAGATGGCCCGGTACTTCTCGGCCCTTCGCCACTACATCAACCTGGTCACGCGGCAGAGGTGAGCGCGAGGCGGGGGGTGACACACGCGTCCCTGTCCCCGCGGGGTCCCCTTGGCGCCTCCGCGCGCGCCCCCACGGGGTCCCCGTTGCTCAGGCGCGCTCCCGCGTCCCGCAGGTACGGGAAACGCGCCAGCCCCGGTCCCGCCGTGGCGGAGCTGCTCCTGGGGGCCGCCAGTGACAGGTCACGGTGAGTGTCCCTGTCGCTGTCCCCCTCCCTGCGCCCATCGCCCCCGGGCGGGAGCTGTGGGCTGCACACCCCGGGGTGGGGGTCCCGGCGCTCTTTGGGGTCCCAGGGGTGTTTCGGGGGTCTCATTTCCCCTTCTCTCACACCGGCTCTTCCCGCAGGTACGATGACGACTCCTCGTGGTGACCGCCCCGCCCAGCCCCCCCCGTCCCCCAAATCCTCCCCATCTCTCCGGGTCCCCCCAGGGGACTCAGGGCCAGCGCTGCAAGGCCGGGGACCCCCAGAACCCGGCTCGGGGGCGTCCCGCTGCCGGGGGGGTGGGCCCGACCCCTTCCCCTCCTCTCCGCTGCCGGGGGGGTCCCGCGCGGTCCCTGCACGGCCCCGCAGCGACAATAAAGAGCACGATCGTGGGCACGGGCTCCGCGCTGTGCGTGCCGGGGCGCGGGGGGCGCGGGGAAGGGCAGGGGGGATGGAGGGAGATGGAGGGATGGAGGGAACAGGGGGCAGGAGGGATGGAGGGAGATGGAGGGATGGAGGGAACAGGGGGCAGGACCCCCCTGCCTGTGCCCCTCTCGTCCCTCCTGTGCCCCTCTCGTCCCTCTGTCCCTCCGTGGGGCCGTGCCCACCTCCTGTCCCCTGCGGAGCCCCCTCAGCGCGGGGTCAAACATTAACCAGCGCTGTGCAGGGGCCAACTGTCCCTGTCACCCCCCGCCATGGCCCCTGTCCCCCCTCCCCGCCCGAGTGGGCACCTGGCCACAGGTGCTGCGTGGCAGGGTGACATCAGCGGGGACACGGGGGGATAAAAGGGCCAGCACGGCGGTGGCAGCAGCGGCACCGAGGACCCGGCGTGTCGGGCAGCGTCCCCTCGTCTGGCTGTGTCCCTGCGTCCCCGCCCGAGGAAGAAGGTGAGTGGGGACGGTGACAAACAGGTGTGTGACAAACAGGTGTGTGACAAACAGGTGTGCGGGGGACACGCGTGTGCAATGGTTTGTGCAAGGCTGAAGGTGTGCAGGAGTGGGACACGGGGCGTGCAGGTGTGGGAGTGGGCAGGTGTGTGCAGGTATGTGTGTGGAGGTGTGTGCAGCTGTGTGCAGGTGTGTTGAGGTGTGCACAGGTGTGTGTGTACTGTGTGCGGGTGTGCATGTAGAAGTGTGTACAGGGGTGTGTAGGTGTGTTCAAGTGTGTGTAGGTGTGTGTGTGCTCCCTCATCCCAATGTGCTCTCTGTCGTGGTGCACTCCCTGTCGTGACACGCTCCCCATCCCAATGTGCTCCCTGTCATGACATGCTCCCTGTCAGGACAAGCTCCCCAACAGGACCCGCTCCCTGTCGTGACACACTCCTCATCCCAATGTGCTCTCTGTCGTGACATGCTCCTTGTCATGACATTCTCCCCATCCCAATGTGCTCCCTGTCGTGACATGCTCCCTGTCAGGACAAGCTCCCCATCAGGACCCGCTCCCTGTCATGACATGCTTCCCATCCCAATATGCTCCAAAGCTGTCGTGACACGCTCCCTGTCGTGACACGCTCCCTGTCGTGACACGCTCCCCATCACAAGGTGTTCCCTGTCACACACTCCCCATCACCACCCGCTCCCTGTCGTGCCCCTCTCCCTGTCAGGATTTTTCCATGCAGGGCGACCCCAAGGCTGTGAACGACTCTGACTCCATGATTTCAGCAGGCTGAACAACTGCTTGATTAAGCTAGATTATATTACACTGATATTATATAAAAACTATACTAAAAAATACTACAGAAAACCCCGTGACTGTCCTGTCACGACACAGCTTTGACCCAACTGGCCAATCAATCCAAACAATCATCACCAAACCCAATTAACAAATCACTGCGGGTGAACAGTCCCCATAACGCATTCCGCGCGTGCCAAACAACAGGAGCACAAGTAGGGATAAGATTCGTTTTCTCTTCTCCTCTGAGCTTCCCGCTGGAGAAGTTCTTCCCCAGGACAAATCCTGGGAGAGAGAACGATGTCTCTGTCTGTTCAGAGAATGTGAGCGCCACGGGGACGCGCTCCCGCGGCATGTCCCTGTCACCCGGGGCGTGTCCCTGTCACCCGGGGCACATCCCTGTCACCCGGGGCGTGTCCCTGTCACCCGGGGCCGTGTCCCCGTAACGCGTCCCCGTTGCAGGTACGGGAAGCGGGCAGGTGGGCGAGCGCTGGGCCAGGAGCCCCTGGGTGCCCCGGGCTGCTGAGCCCCAGGTAAGGGGCTGGGGGGCGGGAGGAGCCCCCCATGGCTCCCCCCAGTCTCAGTGTCCCCAGCAGGGACAGCTTGGGGGGACAGGGGGGCTCTGGGCGGGGGGAATTCAGGGGGTCC